AATAAATCGGTGTCGAATCGTACGATGTCGAATAATTTGGTGTCGAATCGTATGGTGTCAAATAATTTTGTGTCGAATCGTACGGTGTCGCATAATTTGATGTCGAATCGTACGGTGTCGAATAATTTGGTGTTGAATAAATCTGTGTCCAATAATTTTGTGTCCAATAATGTGGTGTCGAATCGAGCGGTGTCGAATCGTACTGTGGTCAATAGAGTATCACCCAAATGATAGTACTGGTAACATTACCAACTCTGGTACTTGAAAGGAACGGAGGTTATTAGTAGAACCCTTTACCGGCACGAGTTACCTCTTAACTTTGTGTCTTTTGGCTTATTTTACCGTACTCGCATCTATTCGAAGTCTATATGCTATGGTCAAGAAGCGTACAGCCTAAAAGCGGTGTTTTTAAGGAAGACTCTTTTGACCAATCATAACTCTTTTTGATTTCTAACCGGGATTTTGAAGTGATTTTTTGAACAAGACTTACCGGGTGGTAGTCACACAAGTTTAAGGAGCTAAAAGACGCGATAAAGCTACTGACCAATCAGATTGTTTCTCGATCTTATGACCATGTTCCTGAACGTACTTTTGAGAAAAAGTTAGTGGACCCTACTTGCAGGCGTCCAGAGAGTCCAGAAATTGCAACAAAATTACTGACCAATCAAACGCGTTTTACTAAACTGGTTGACCAATGAGATTTCTTTTACCTTTTTCAATGGTTTAAAACATGAATTTCACGAAAAGCTAACTTGGCGTAGTTGCTACGTGCTTTGTCAACTAATACGGCAAGTTTTTGTATTTCAGCCAATCAGGTTGTTTGTCACCAGGCAATCAGCCAATCAGATGTTTTTACTGATTTTGACCAACTTCTTGAACAAATTTTGAAGAAAGCAACAGTTTTCTCGACTTGTAAGAGTCTAGAGACTTAGAATTGTCAGAAAACTGTCTTGACCAATCAGATGATTTTACGAGATTTTAACCAACTTCTCGGTCGATTTTTACGAAAAGAATTATGGGAGATGACGTACGAGGACCTGATAAATCGGAATCCACAATAAAACGACTGACCAATCAGATTGCTTGTTACTAGGAAAACGACCAATCAAATTTTATCATAGAATAAAACAGCTAAATTTTACTCGTAGGCTAACAAATCGTGTAGTATACGTTAAAAGCAGTTATATGAATACACCTTGATAGTGAAAGGCAAGGGGACTCACGTAAATAAAGCACCCCAAAAGGAACAAAAAACTACCACGTTCACGCCGTTGTTCCTGGGTAGTGCTAAGAGTAGTAATTTCTATTAATTGTAGCTAAAAATTTCGTCCGCCATCTTGGTCCGTCATTTTGGATCCGCCATTTTGAATTTTGCAAATCTGACTTCAGATTCGTGATCAACAACCCCAAAAACCCTCGTAAACTTAATTTGGTGCAAATCGGTTGACTAAACTTTTTGTCCGCCATCTTCGTTCGCCATCTTGAAAATTTTAAAACAACCAAGGTTATATCTGAACGTAAAATTTTCCGCTTTTTCATTTTTTGGTGTCAAAAAAGAGGGTTTTCAATTTAAAAAAAACCACTTCCGGTTGAAGTAACCTACTTTTGGTCAAAATCAAAAGTTGAAAGGTACGCCATTTTGGTTCCCCCTCGGAACCCTACAACTTTTGTATGAAACTTTTTTTGCTTCCTGGCCTCACAAACGAGTTATTGGAGGTGATAAATTCAGATGACTCACCCTGTATTTTGTGTTTCAAACAGATTTATAAATGATTTTACAAAACTTATAAATTTTTGGCATGCAATTTGTAAGTGATTCTGATTTGTCTTTGATGAACGGTTTATAATATTTGTTATGTATATTTG